CATCTTCACCACTGGCCTAACCATTCAATCTTTCCATTGGGACTGCTGGTGACCATACAATGGCTTGCCCGCTCCAACTCGAACTTTATGGCCAGTAACAACAGACTAAATTCTGGTCTAGTCGCTACTCTTATGTTGCTTGAAGCAGGACTCAGGTAATCTTCACAAAGCTCAAGCAGAGGACCAGCGATTTGATTAAGCTCAAGGTTCAATTTTCGCTACAAAAGATCTCTGGCAAATAGCGGAAACAGCAGTAATATGCCTGCTGCTTTTGCCCTGTCTCTGTCATCTGAACCATTCAGAATAAGTCTCTGTCTCTATCTCTGTCTCTGTGTCCACCCCGTAGCTCAGAAGAGCAAGGGCTAGAACAGTGATATATGAACATCATGCGAGTGCGAGTTATCATGATAACAGAGTGCCAATGTGCCTAAATTACAGAGCCAGTCGAGTTTGAGAGTGTTACCTCTCCGTTTGTATGAAAAAGAACCGTAATGAGTTAACAGATAAGTCGGAGTTTCCGAAAGGCAGCGAGATCTAGACAAGTGCAAGACCACTCCGACTGAAACTTATTCAAAGCATAATTCAAGGCCATATATAAACCAATGCACATGTTGAAGACTGCAGGTCCTAATTGTTGCCCTGTTTAGCTCGCAAAAGCTCAAGGGCAAGAGCCAGCTAGTTTGGATTCCCGAGTGATCTTTAAGTCATCATATACACTATTGAAACAACACCGCCAAACCTAGACTCAAGAATACCAACACATCATTGCTGAGCTCCTATGGCCTACGTTCCAATACAAATCTAATCTACGGAAAAATGTCCTACAGTAGATCATTGCAAAGGAGATTATCCTCTAGAAGGTTATTTCATAAAAGGTTATCCCACAGGAGGTTATCCCATGTTTCCCTTGTTTCCTTTTAATTATTCCAGAGTTACTGTGATAGTATCCCCGTACAGGGTAACCTCATGAGACTCGAGGCAAATCTTTTCTAACACAAACAAACAGATAGAGCTGGATGAAAAGAGTGATTTGTATCAGCAAGCTCTATCTATGTGGCCGTGGCAAATGTCTACTGGTAGATGACAGACTCAGGTAAGGCAAGGCCAGTTGCGGTTCAACGTTGGGGCTGAATTGTGACGTCTGGCTCAGTCGAATGAGAGTCGGCACTTGTTTTGATGTGTGGTGGAAATTAGGAGGCAAGCGCTGGAGGGTGGATCAAGAGTCAGTCTGGATGTCATGAGGCTCATTCTCGTGACTGGCTGACTCTGGGGCGTTTGTCAAGCTGCCATTGTCCAATGAGTGGGCAGACATTGGGCGGTCCTCGTCTATCGCGATAAGCAAGCTCTCAGCCTACTGCAGGTAGAAAATTAGCTTGGCGACCAGGGAAAAGCTCTTCCCCACCCGATGATAACCTGGCTGCAGCCTGGGTGGGCCGACCGCGCCTGCAAGTGCGGCGCACGATCCCGTGTTACAGCATGACTTCAAGGCATCCCGGTCTTGGGCTCGTCGCAGCGCCGAATTCACTATCAATACCTGCTGCAGGTTGCAGCGACGCGAGGGCTGTATTGTGGGTACTCGATAACAGCACTCGCTGGGCTGTCTAGGCTGGCTGGGCCGCGGCATCACGCGCCTTGTTTGCTTGCTTGCCGTGCTGCGAGACACCTGCATCATTACGTATTGCCCTGTTCTGGAGTTTCCGTCCGCCCTGCTGCAAGATATACTCGGGCGATAGAGAGTCTGGCCATCGTCAAATCCTGCGCAGGGCTCTCTCCTCCCGCTGCAACGCCAGCCGGGTGAATATTTTAGAACCCTAGCTGGTTATTGTTGCTTTTTCTCTTTCGTTTACTTCTACTGACTAGATTCTGGCCTAAAACTCTTTTCTTTTCCCGACACCACAACCAAGCTAGCTGTACCGAGTACCCGGCTCCATCCTTCGAGCTGCCCTCAGGTTACCAAGCCCGTACTGCTTCCATCGTCTTCCCCCATGTCAGGAAGCTCTCGCAATCGCAACCCTACGACATGGGATCAATATGAACGAGGGGGCTCGCCCGGCCGCGGCAGCGTTTCTTCCAATGGCGGGAGAAGCGTTGCCTTCGACGACGAATACCTAGACCACAGCCCGCGCGCAAGCGTTGATGACGGGAACCTAGCAAATATGCGACGAAGGAGGTACGGCAAAAATATGCCCCCCAGAACCTGTAATACTTGAGCACATCGTACTGAAAAGTGCTTCCCCCACAGATCTTCCGTCACGAACCGACTCTCAGCACTCGGGGATGTTGGAGGAGTGAACAGCATCCGGTCCTTCGCACGATCCTGGCAGCGAGCGGCAGAGTTCACTGAGGTCATCCCCCAGCGGCCCTCGTTCATGCTGGCACCCGAACAGGACTCAATCGGCGCCCATGATGGTCTACAATATGGCAGATCGGATGAAGAGGCCGGCAGGGCTGGTTTCCCCCAGGGCACCGCCCCGCGCGTGTCGCTGCTGCGCCAGCACCTCGAGGCGGCTCCAGAATCAGCGGTGCGCGACGACAGCCCAGAGCCAGGGGCAAGCGAGGCGCAATCTCTTCTCGAACCCAACAGGCACTACAGCACGGGCTCCTTCCGGGACCGCGAGCGCAAGGCTTTGGACAACGAGCTGCGGCGCACAATCTCCTTCAGCAGTGGCACCCCGACCTCCCAGTCCATCTTCGCCGTGCCCCCGTCGTTGGCCACCCCGGACATCGTGGGCAGCTATGCTGATTTTGCGGGAAGCTATGGGTCGCATCGCACTTACGGGACCATTGCCAGCGACGACACATTCAGCAGGGCATCCATGGCCCAGGCCGCCGAGATGTGGCGGCAGCAGCAGGCAGCCGGCAATGTGCCAGACGGGGAAAGTCGGCCGATTCTTGTGAAGGAGGTCGAAGATCGGGACGGGAAGATCGTGTTGACGGTCGAGGGACAGAGCACGCTCCCTCAGACCATTTTCAACTCTACAAAGTAGCATTTTCCCCACACCTCATCGCGCCTGGTATCATCGCTGACTTATTTGTTCCAGCGTTCTGATCGGAGTCGGTCTTCTGAGTTTGCCAATGGGTATCAAGTATGCAGGCTGGCTGTGCGGCATGATTATACTTCTCGGAGCGGCTGCGGTGACTTCTTACACGGCGAAGCTGCTCGCGAGATGTATGGACTTGGACCCGAGCCTGATTACCTTCTCGGATCTGGCCTACATCTCCTTTGGCAGAAACGCGCGGATCGCCACGAGTATACTGTTCACCCTAGAACTACTCGCAGCCTGCGTTGCTCTTCTGGTGTTGTTTGCGGACTCTATGGAGCTGCTTTTCCAAGGTGTCTTGTCTGGGACGGAGTGGAAGTTCGTGTGTGCTCTTATTTTGATACCCCTAAATTTCCTCCCATTACGCTTTCTCAGTTTTACCAGCATCATCGGCATAGTGTGTTGTTTTACAAGTAAGTCTTGACACTGTTATGCGCTCCCTTTGTATCCTTTGCTAACCTAGCACTTCCACAGTTGTTGCCCTCGTCATTATAGACGGCCTCGTCAAGCCAAACGCGCCTGGTTCACTGCTTGAGCCAGCAGCCACCTATCTCGTCCCTGCCAACTGGTTGACTCTTCCGCTCTCATTCGGGCTCTTGATGTCCCCGTGGGGAGGCCATGGAGTGTTCCCAAATATTTGTATGTGTAATCCTTCGTTATGCTCTCCAGTCAGCAGCTAACAACACGAGACAGACCGGGACATGAGACATCCGCATAAGTATGCTCGTGCACTGAAAATCACGTTCTCTTTCACGTTCCTACTTGACGCCACGGCTGCAGTCGTCGGCTTGCTCATGTTTGGTGACGATGTCATGGACGCTAGTAAGTGAATCTGACAGCGACTTTTTCTTTGCTGGACACTCGATGGCCATGTTCTCTATAACATGGAGTCGGATTGAAGATTTCCCTCCATTGTATTATTGAAGAAGCCGTAATTTGTGTCTAAAAGCGAAATAATTACTGACGAAACACTAGTCACTTCCAACATATTGACGACATCCGGATACCCCCAAGCGATAACATACATTCTGTGTGGCGCCATTGCCATCATCCCCTTGACTAAGATCCCGCTCAACGCGAGGCCAATTGTTGCAACTCTGGAGGTGCTGCTCGGAGTACATCAACAGGCCCTCGCAGAGTCGTCTGCCATAGTCGGCATGTCGAGTTATTTCAGGGGCTTGGTGAAGATCTTCATTCGCATTGTGACAATTTTTATATTCTTGGCCATCTCAATCGCTTTCCCAGCGTTCGATAGTATTATGGCCTTCATGGGCTCTGCACTGTGCTTCACCATCTGCGTCACGTGAGTTGGACATCCCTATTAGCATTTCCCTATTTCTCGTCTTCTCCTATTTAGTTCTCACTTATCCTTTCCCAAGTTTCTTCCAACCATCTCTTACCAGGTCTCCTGCATTAGTTGACTAACGGGTTCCCTTTAGGTTGCCCTTGTGCTTTTATTTAAAGCTCTTTAGCAGAGAAATTGCGGGGCTTGAAAGGTCTTATATATACGCTATGCTTGCTATATCTATTACCCTTTCGGTCATCGGCACTATTTTCTCCTTCCTCCCACGGTCTTTGCTCGAATAACAGCAATGATTGCGATGGCATGGATGGGTTGGCACTCTCGAGAGATCTGTCAATACCGCAGGAAGCGCGAGGATTGAGAGGGGGGCGGGACTTAGCTGGGAATGTGAATGCTAGAGATTGGAAAGTGGGATCTAGGCACAGGAGACAGGAAAACGCGGAACGGTATTTGCCCAACCGTTTCCACGATTTCGACCACACCACCAGCCGGCCGACGCACAACATATACCTGGGTCACAAGGTACTTCGTCTGTACATCTTTGATTCCTGCCCCGATCGCGCATCCTTTCTACTCCTCGCAAACTGTGAAGCCGCCGTGACCCACTTTCGAAGATACTGCTTCATCCATGGAACCCGGTCAAGCGTTTTAATTCTGGCGGCTTCCCTAGCTCGTTTCCATACTCGGTACCGAGACGCAACAAGTGCTTGCATCTCTCCTGGGCTTGCCCTCGGCCTCGCTAAGAACGTGCAGCTGAACATGCTCACCAACCCAGCTTTTTGGAAATACCTAGCAGTCTATAAGCCCGTACCGTCACATTAATGATATTCTCGCCTAAGCCAGGTTGCATAGTAATGCACATGGGGGTGAATAACCACAATGCATTAATAGCCTCGGGTTGGATTCATGGATAATGTCATTAGTATAGACAGGTGGAGTGCTTGCATTAGCATCGGCCCGGTCTGCTCAGTGAAATTTTGGGCCAATTAAGCAAGTAAATTGATGCTCAGGCTAGAATTTCAATCTGTCTTGCAGATGCAGGGCCCAGACCTGCCCGTTGTTGTGTCCGCCGCCCCGCCCCGCCAAACTCCCAATCGAGTCCTCCTACCAAGTTAAATAAGCAGAAGAGCGTTTACACAGCCATCGTTCTCGGGATTGTTCGTGATCTGCGCCCAGCGGCCCCAAACCACCTTGCCAGAGGTGCTTGTCATACCCAACTCGCTCACATTCACCTCCACGACGGTGCCTTTTGTCAGTACGCCCAGTTGAGTGTACAAGGGATTCTGCGGGTTCTTCTTGACACTGAGAATGGGTGCTCGAATTGTGACTCCGAGTGTTGGGTGCGAGAGGTGGACCATCTTGTGGCGTAGTCCCATAGGACGTATGAACCGCTCGTATTTGACCGGTCTCCCTTTATACCAACCAGTTAGCCGATGCTACAACAACAATACTGCTGCGGCAAGAGAGGGGCCACGAAAGGAGGTGAGGGTGAGAACTTGCTTGTGAAGTCCTGGCCGACAAAGGTGGGCTTTGTAACCATGCGTTTCCAGCCTTTCTTGTGTGTCTTCTTTCCCGTGTTTATCACCTTGAACATTTCCTCCTCAGAAATCCCGCGGACTTTCGGCAGGGGCACTGCAAACCGTGCAGCCTTCTCAGCGCGTTTGTTCTTGATAGCTGAACTAAGAGCCTTTGCGGAGGTAGGGTTGTTGCGGTCGAGCAGGTAGGCGGGGACGGGGTTGGCTGGGTCAGCATCTGGGGCGGCAGCCTTGATGTTACGTTCCTCGTGGGCTTTGATCTGCTTGCGCAACTGGATCTTCTCCTTGTGGCGCTTTTCGGCGTACATCTTGGCGCGGAGGCCGCGCAGGTTCTGGGCCTTCTCGGAGGCATCGTGGCCTTCACGGGCGGCACGCTTGCGGGCACGCTCGTGGTGGTCGAGGCTGCAACCATCAAGAGCGCTGGTCAGCTGCCAGGCAACGCATGATAGAGGGAAGGTGGTGGACTTATTTACCGTTGGCCATAAAGGCGTTGCCATCTTTGCATGTACTCGTTTTGAGGCATGGCGGCAGCTGTTTGCGAGCGGCGAATGGAGGTGAGGTTGGATACTTGGCGGCAGCGGCAAACAAAAAGTTAGTAGACGTACATAGTCTGATTGCCCCACTAGCATGTGGTTGGACCGCGGGTGAATGGTGCTCCCGGGCTCCACTGCTGCGCCACAGTTACGTATCCGTTGCGTGACCGTTCTTTGTGGCGCTGCCACAAGTGTTTCATGGATGAGGCGAGGCTGCTGCTGTAAAAAAAGCGGGGTGGGTTGGCATTCCATCTCTTTGTGCACTCTTACAAGCTCATCTTGCAACAACTAAAAATTATGGCTTAGAGCGGGCTACGATTCAAAGTACACCTTTTTTCCTCCGCACTACAAGCATACCTAATAGTCTACCTTCTTAAACAAGCCTCGACCCGACGTCACAATTTGTCAACTAGCAACTCCTTAAACCAAAATGGGGATGATCATTCTGGCTTCCAAGATTTCCATCTGCCCCCATTTCCAGCAACTAGTACTGTACCGACTCGCGATTGGCAACGCGACCTTATTGCATTCAACAGTGGAACGCACCCTGATTTCTCTGGCTTTACCGCAACCCAGATAGGCAACATCCTTCAATTTGTACACCAAAAGTACGAGCAGATTGACTTGCTGGCACAAGCGGCAAGGAGTAAGCCATGGAGGTAATCACTTTGCTATCCTGCAAGACGTTTCATTGTTCGCCGCACTGAACCACAGACCCTCGTCTCTTTCAAATGTCGCATCCTTGCCTGCTACTCGCCTCAGGTCAAGGAATTTATGGGGCGAAGCGCTTGGGACTACGATGAGTTTCTCACGCTGGAAGATGCTATACCAGCTGTTGCTGGAACATACTGGATCATGTCGCCCTTTCAGACGTCTTATGCTGGCCCTGCCAGGTCACAAGTCCCAGAATGCCCCGACAACACTGGTGAAGGTGGACTCCAGCGGCGGATAAAAGCACACAAGCGAATTCTCAGCCAGGGCTCAGAGACTATCCTAGGAAGCTACTCTGCCAGACATGTGCTCCCCACACCCATTCTCTTAGGACTAGGTGCAGCCAATAACACCCTGTACTGCCACGTGGTGTTGAGCCGGGACACAGACAAATTCAAGGCACAACACATGGAAACAGAACCTAGGCAGCAACCTGGGCAGCAACCTGGGCAGCAACCTGGACGAGACGCTCTTGGATTTCGTGTACTTACTTACGCACTTGACGTTACTGTTGGCGCTGGACAAAGCTTTGACTGCACGATGCTTCTATCAGTCTTGGAATCCCCCGACATTCTATTCACCAGGTCCTTGGAAGTGGTAGACAATGTTTACCAGAGTCCAGAATGCTTTGCTATCCAGGGGCACTTTTCAAAAAGTTATGTTACACCCACAAATCGCGCTCTGCTGTGGAGTCAATGCTCTAGCGTACTTTGGACTGCAAAACATCAGCGAGTCGTTAAGCAAGCGGGCGACCAGATCGTGGAACATTTCGGCAATGTGCCCTGGGTCTTGCCCTACCACATCATTTTCTCTCGTTTCGAAGCTGAAGGACTTGCCTGCCCCAAGAGACTTTTAATCTTGACTCGTTGGCGTGCCCTTTTCCCAGATGACGGAATCAAGAAAGCTCTGGTCGAGGGACCGGACTTGACACTGAATATTGTGGATTTCATTTGCGAGCATGGACCGGTATATGCTGCTACTAATTTCTCAGAGTTCAAAGCGAAGCATGGACTGGGACTCCGCTGTCATTTCGAGCAGTCCTATCGTTCGAAAACGGATCGTTTATCTCTTCTACTACGACAATTTCGTTGAGCCACTTTCGTTGTTGAGGCCCGGGATTCGACCCTTTTCTGGAGCCTCGACCATACCATTAGTCACGACGCTGCTGTGCAAGTATCTCACGACGCACTTCGCTTGCATATCCACGATTCCTGAACTCGATCGCACATCCTTCCTCAAAGGCTACTTCTTGGTCTCGAAATTGAACCTAAGCCAAACTGTGAAGCCGCCGTGGGCCACTTTCGAAGATGTTGCCCGCCCCCCCCCCCCCCTCATTCCCTCCAACCTAATATTCTTGGCTATTCTGCTTCGTTTCCCGTCCATGTTCCCTCTACTGTGTCGTCTTGCACGCATAGATCACCAAATGTTCCCACAGCTTCCTGCTTGTCGTGGATCACTCGGAGGCTTTGAATGCCATCCTCTACTTCCAAGAAGACGGCGAAAAGAATTCCACGGCGTCATAACCAGGAAGAGAATGACATCAAGTGCACTTTTATCCTTGCCGTCCGGCAGCTTGGCTTTGGCAGGAGTGGTTGACACCATCGGAGGCTAAAGCAACTGAGACGTACGTGTGGCCAGCAATGGGGGAGACTTTGATGACTTCCTCCTCGGTACCCAGACCAAGGACACCTGGCCGCTGATTTCGTTTGCTCCCGAGATCCAGAACGCCCCATCTCAGCATTCCGATGTCCCTGCGCGACCTCATGAGATTATCAAATTGGATGCCTGGATTCTGTTGACACTCAAAGTCTTCGTCCTGCCTGTCCGATGGCGTGTTAGGCGGACAGTAACTCGCAATGACCGCCGAGTCGGTGCCCACGATGACGGACTTCAAAGGCAGGGGGCGAAAGCTGAGGATGACAGGGATCGCAGCAGCGACTGCGGCAATAACAAGACCGGGGATCATGGCTCGTATGGAATACCCCATGTTCACGTCGACGTCGTTGAATTCGAATTCGGGCTGCCAGAAAGAGACGCCTGAATCCAAGCCAAGGTTAATGTTTCCAAGCCACACAAGGATGTTTTAAAAGGATACGGACGACGACTGGTACCGCCTACACCCCGTAGAAAGACACTTACTTCCAATTGGCATTACGTATATTGTCTGACTGAGGATCCAACCCAGTAAGGCTTTGAGGGATATGAAGCTGATTCCCCAGAGAAGAGGAAACTGGAAGGCATGGGTGGACACTTGGTGCGCGCCATGCTTGGAGCTCACCCGGAGCTGCTGAGCTTTCACAGCGAAGTCCGCCCAGTATCTGCCTTGGAAAATAGTCGAGTATAGAGAACTGAAGGTGAAGTAATAGATCGAAACAGCGAGTTGAGGCAAGTTCGTTGTGAGACAATAAGTGAGGAATTTCGCTATACTTGTGTCGGAGGAATCGAATTCATCCTCGGAGTTAAACATGGGGGTAATTCGGTTGCCTATGCTGTCCCCAAAAGCGTCATCAAATCTTCGAAGACATCAGTATCACCCCTGCAAATGAATTTGGCAGACATAGGTACCTACTGTAGAGATGGGAAGCCAAACACGCCAAGGAGAATAGTCCCACCCAGGAGAAATACCCCGATGGGTATATAGGTCCAGAGCCACATGCGCCTGCTGACGACCTGTCCCCACCGCTTCTTGGCATCTTTCCACACCATGGGCCCTGTACCAGACATTCTGGTAATGTCCGGGCCATGCATCATAAAGACTTTCAAAGCATCTCCGAGACATTGGCATGACTCCTTCCTCCAGTGGAACGAAGACACCAGAACACTCAGGATGGATCCCAAGGTAACGCAGATCAGGCTAATGAGGAGGAAAGGACCCGAGACGAAAACTTTACAAGGTGCTGAATAGGGTTCCGATAGGCAGTATTTGACAGCCAGGGTCTGGTATTCGGGATAAATATCACCACTCCCAAATACATCTGACGGGTAATCATTCCCCTCCGGATACCATGATATATTCCACACCTTAGGAGCCTCGGAACCAATGTCGACCTGAGGCGGATAGGATCCAGCACTACCAAACCCGCTTGTCGTGTAACCTCCTTCACAGTAGGTCCAAATGGTGTTGTCGCCTGAGCCAGATCGCTCAGTTGTGCACATGGGGGAGAATGACCACAACGCATTGACAGCCTCGGGTTGATATTCATGGATAGTGTCGTTAGTATAGGCGGCCGGAGTGCTGTTCCAGACTTGAGCCCCCTGCCAGCCTTTCGCATCGGCATTGGGCCCTGTCTGAACGACAAGCAAAAGGTTGCGATGACTTTGCAGGCCCTTCGGGTCTTGGAAATACGTGCGCAGGCAGTCTTGGCCCTCCAGCCTGGTCCAATTCATCGATGCCGCCCGGAACCCCGGCAGAATGTCGTAAAAGTGGGATTGAACTTCGGTTGTTGAATTGTATGCCGTCAGACCCAGGAAGGCCACACCGGGATACACAAAGTCTGCGCCTGTCGTGAAAGCTTCGCTAGCAAAGAGGACAGAATATGTAGTTGATGTGTATACAATGAATGTAGACGAATGGAAGAATAATTGGATAGGGATGCCAATGGCGACAAGTGAAACCCACCAGAGCCTCCGCCATTGTGAAAGCTGTTTTAGGTTGCGGAAGGAATGAACCCCAATATCCAAGGAACGGCCTCGTGAATGAGCGTTGCGGAGATCATCAATTGTGGGTGAGGACACCAGCCTTATGAAGAAGTCGAATGACACACTCATCCCGATTGCTGTAATGGCACAAAGAAGTTGCATGCACTGGTTCATGGCCTCGGCCCGGCTGCATTGTCCGGCATAGAGCTTGGTGACCCCGAACACACCTCCATTGGCAGAAGAGAGACTGACACAAACTAGTAAAGCTACTAGGATGCTTGCTGACAATGTGTGAAACTTTATAGCATCTCTGTGCCAGCTCACTGAGTGCTCGGAGGATTTTACTGCCAATGATGCATATTTTGGATTGATTCCTAGCATTGTTGCTTGCTGGTTGATGACCGGCTTATTGATATCGTTGCCAAAGGGCCTTAAGACTCCTAAATATCTCTATCATGTCAGATCCCAAGGTTCGGCGAGAAGAAGTTCTTATCTATTGGGAGCCTTTACCCTAGATCTGTTGAAATCACTTCACTGAGACAATAGAATGCTGCGCTGTTCCATGAAATGGAGAAAGATAGGACAGAGGTATAAGGCGAGATCAGATTGTAAATAATTATTGAGATTATGAGACACAACAGCTCAGCTAAGGTACACGTTAGGTTCAGCGGGTAGGTGCTGGTAGATATAAAGATCTATTTTAGGTAAGGCCTATTACGAGATAGCGACAGCCACTGCTTAGCCTGATACAAGAGTGTTCTGTATATTTCTACACAATTTGGATGGGCGCAGCGCTCAAGCAGCGCTGCAGAAGTGTCGCAGCGCCTGGTGACAGGCTGACAGGGCAGCCTTCCCTCGAACTGAGCCGCATGAAGCGGACTCGCCCGCCCCCAATATGTACGATCAGACAACCGAGACAAATCAAAACATCAGCGAGCCACCTTATTTCATTTGCTATCCCTTGCCTCATAATCCGGAGGGCTTGATGAGTTCATTTAACTCACGGTTACACTGCATGGTCCGGTCAAGAGTCTGCGAGTAGCACAACGTAACACTGAAGGTGGCTGATGTTCGGAATGTTGATGTGCCTTGTTCTGTTCCGGGTGCTAAGTAGGACCATGCCGAATGATTGGTGCCCACCTGCCCAGGTGCTACCAAGTAGTTACTTCTTTTGACAATACATAGTGCCAAAGACCACTGGAGCTGTCGAGAATGTCGGTGACGGCAATGAGGCATCGATCTACAAGACTGCCGGAGCGTGCGCACAGGTGCGGCAGGGTACCGCTGAGATTCGCCATTTATGGATCGACAGCGTTTGCATCAACAAAGGTGACAGCAGGGAATTTTCGTCGGCTCTCAACTCTATGTTCAACTGGTATCACAATGCCGCTGTCTGCTACGTCTACATGTACGACGTGACATGGAACGAGGCAGACGACCTGTATGGAAGTCGCCAGCAATTCCTCCAGAGCAAGTGGTTCACGCGGGGTTGGACGCTGCAGGAGCTCCTTGCGCCGAAGAACATTGAGTTCTACGACCGGGACTGGCGATATATCGGCTCGAAACAGAGTTTGTTGGACCAGATTGCAGAGGCGACGGGCATTGCGAGGGAGCATCTGCTGAGGGGTTTCCGCACCGCCAGCATCGCGCAGAAGATGAGCTGGCTGTCGCGCCGAACCACATCCATCATCGAGGATCGCGCCTACTGCATGCTCGGTCTCTTCGGTGTCTTCCTCGATCCACGATATGGCCAAGGTGGGAATGAATTTCTCCGCCTGCAGCGGGAGATATTTGTCTCGACGCCGGCAGGCGCCATCTTCGACGAGTCAATGTTCGCCTGGCAGACGGATCTGATCGAGACCAGCGGCCTCCTTGCCCCGGCGCCCAGCTGCTTCCGCAATTCGGGTCACGTTCTGTTCGTACCGCGCCTCGCCAAGTCTCGAAATATAACAACTCAGATCGAGGACGGCATGGTGATAGAACCAACCATGGGCATCGATTTTCACATACCGTGGGCTGAGCGAAAGCATCGCTGGTATGGAGCCGCTGTCTGCGCCGTCCATTTACTTACTTTCGGCATCGGCTCAGTAGGAGGAGTTTTGATACACAGGGCAATTCGTAAAAGAAAGTCAGATCACCTGGTGAACTTGAACTGCTGGGTTCAGGGGCCCGGCCAGAAACTGCGGAATGTGCGCATCAAGGTGGTCCAGGACAAGGACAAGACTTGGCGGCGCATCGAGTGCAATAGCCTGTTCGAGTCAGATAATGACAATCTGTTCTCACAAGCGGACGTCCATGGAAGCCAGAGCGGAGGCCGTGTCTACTTTCCGCACCGGATCATGTACAAGGTAGGAGTCCTCATTGTGCGACATCTTTGACCACTTCACAGGCCTATCTAATTGTTTACAGGGCTCCTCGGGGTGGACTCAATCGTCAGAACTCCAAGGATTTTCTGTGAAGGAAAGCAAGAGGAACCGCCATGGCGGCGTTTCTCCATCAGCTCAAGCCGCACTTCAGACCCAACAGAGGATGGCTCAGGAGCAGGCCCAGATGCAGATGCAGATGCAGCACACCCAGATACATATGCAGCAAATGAGGATGTAGGATCAGTCAACGCCGCCGAAGCACAACAAGCCAGGAAACGGACAGCCCCAGCCCACGAGACATACAAGTTCATACAATACCTGCCCTGAAAGTTCACTCCGGCCCACTGCGGGGCCGCACCCCTGTGTAACGGTTGTCGTCGCTCGACCATATTTTCCATTCCTGAGGTAATAGCCTCGTCAAGGAATTTTAAACCAACGGAGCTTGTCACCAACTAGACTTGTCAACGAAGTGTCTCTCCGTCACAGCTCCATCATTGAAGTATAATTGACTCTTATCATAGCATAGATAACACATTAATCAGTAGGCTTGCTCGATATCAAATCCAGGATCTTTCTCAGTCCCTGCAAATCCCCTTCTTTTGTGCCGGCCTCATCCTTCTCAACCCAGCCTCCAGTATATCCACCTTCGAAATCAATAACCCAGGCATTGCCATCCTTGTCAATGAGAACATTGTCAGCTTTGGCATCTCCCCAGACGGCTCCTGCCCTGTGTAGCTCCTCGACCGTGTGTTTGACCTGCTTCGCCCAACGTTCTCTCAAATTTTGAGAAGGATCATCGTAGAGGGCAGATTGCAGCGTCATGCCCTCTTCATGATCCACCAACGAAAGGAGCAGGCCCAGCGTGGCATCCTCGTCCTGAATGTGTACGATTCCCTGCAGCCGGCTCACCCGCACGTCTGGCCCCAGCTTTGCATCGTGCACTTTCTTATGCACCGAGAGCTCATGCGTCATCGGATTTTCCGATGCGAGCCCAAAGTGCTTGAAGAAACACAACGTCTTGTGGCCGGACTTGTCTAGGTCTGCGAGCACAAGCTCTGGCATCCGATAGAGCGCCTGTTCGGGCCGCTGGAAAACGACCTCGAGCTCTGAGGGTTCAAAGAAGCGCGTCCACGCCTCAAGATCGTCCAGAAGATCGCCGTCGAGAAACGAGAGCGGCTTAACGAGACTGCCTTCGTTATCGACATGAACTGGGATGAACTTCTCGTCTTCGGCGTCCAGTCTGCAACCGAAGGTCTCGGGGAATAAGCACTCGGAGAGAAGCGGTTTGGATAAACCGTTAGAAATCTTGACCGGGTCAAAAGAAGGTGTAAAGTCTGGCGCAAGCCGCGAGAAAATGGGCTCGAAAATGTTTGCTAGCCATTCGAACGCCTCTGTGTCGGTGATGCCGTCAAACTCCCCGTCGTTGTCTGGCAAGATTGGTTCGATGTTCTTCAAGTACTGTTTGGTAGCGTTTGGTGAGTTACTAAAGTTGGAAAGCGACAGGTCAATGATAAACAGCCTGCCATGGTATCTCATCGAGACAGTGACATCCTCAGAGGCGTCCTCACCCGTGATGGTGCGCACGGGATGAGCAGGAGAAGGGGTCCGCTGGTGCGTCGATGTGGTACTCATGGCGAACTCGATGGCTGGTGCGGAAAAGGGATGGTGTAACTTTAGAGCTGACGAAGACCGCTCGTTATGCGATCATGTGCGCTGTCTCATCTGTGATGTATTTCGATTGACCTCACTTCTCATCGACTGCACATACTCAGCCCGGCCTTCGAACCACACAACACAACCAAGCCTACCTGGTTGGCAAGAGCTTCCGTAGACTTGAAATAGTCACCAAGCAACAAGCCCAAGGATATATTATAGTTAGTGATCGAGTCGTCTAAGTAAGAACATGAAATGGTGAGGAACAGCAGCAGGGTCTTTCAATGTCAACCTGTTGGCTTACTGTCATTTAGGGCTAGGGCTTCCGACCCAAACCCTCAGCTCAAGTTCTCTGTTTCCGTGATGTCGCCCAACGAGCCAGGCAACCATGTCTTGGCGGGCCACTTCTTGATAGGTCGAAAGGTCCAGTTTGGCTGCATTTCATTTAGGACAATATCTGCTGCCTCTCTGTTTGCCTCCTTTGGAAAAATTTACCTTCTCCTCTTATCATCCAGCGTCTTTCTCTACTGTACTGTGAATATACTCCCTCTCATACATGAACCACACCACTGCCTCACCCTTCAGCCATCTGACCGTGCCGCACCAACGTAGGCGGCGAAGGTCCTGACATCGCCATAATACGGGGCCTCAAGGCCCGGGTCTCCGTATTGAACCGTTTTCTGGACAAGAATGCGGTTCGACGAGACGCTCGGCATTGCACCCTTCTAGAATGTCGACCCTGCCATGCAGTCGCAGCTCCTGCGCCCCGAGGTTGGAGGCGGGGATACACGCACACACATTTTCGTCCCTTCAAAGCTGGTACACAATAAAATAAAATTTACGTACAAGGCCTACGCCTGGGAAATAGTACTCGCCCAGAAAGATATTTTATAAATGAGCAGCTCACTGCGAATCTATCTACGGGATAGAAAGCCGTAAAAGACGATATCTTGTCCTTTAGCCATGATAATGATTTTATTTGAAAGGCGACGGGGAATAGAAAGATGAATTCTTTTGTAATGGTAACAAACAAGCGGAGATACTTTCCCCTGTTGTTCAAGCAACTATTTACCATAAGCACTTGAACATTCATTCCTAGGCCAGGGACTTGCTGACCTGCTACTTTCTGCGAAAGCCACCCGTCCACTGTGACCGATGCAAGACCATATGTATCAAGTTATACGAACAACAGGAGCACCGAAAATCAGGGCATGGAATCGATGAGGGACGCTACCTACTCCCAGATAACGACTGACGTGAATCAGCACAGCAGCGTTGAGCGTAATTGTTACCAGGGCTACAATTTGCCCAACCCATTTACATAAACATCATCATTATCATGAATTCTAACACTATCAGAAGGGCCCTTGAATTTGGTTGTTGGAATTCCCAATAACCATTACAATGAGTTACTGCCTACTATGAAATATTAATGTATTATGATAACTATATTTTATGAAATATCAAACCCTGATCATAGTCATATTTCATAAAATATTGTTGATTAGAACAACAATTGTTTCATAAATTCTTAATATACACAACAATACTCATTTCATAAAATATGAATACATCCGACTATAAATATTTTGTAGAATATTAATAAATTAATAGAATCTTTACAGGAGAGCTGTATCTGTTGTTAGGTGAAAGATATTCTATTGATTGTACGCAGATTCGAGTAGTCCCGGACGACACAGAAGACAAATCAGCTGATTTGGACCTTTTCATGTGAGGTTTCATTTCTTTTTCTTTCTTATTTTTGTTTGTTTTGCTTTTTTGCCGTGACTCATCTATTTTACTTGATTACATGTATCTCAATCTGAGAACATGCTGTCAAAAATGGAAAACCACAGCTTGGTTAACCAGGCTGTTGTCAGGTCCGCCAACTACTGCCGCATTTATGAATGTTGTGGTCAAACATTCTTGCCGCACCCGGAAACCTCGAAACAGCCACGCAAGCTGTTCCCAGATCGTGCGAACCGTCATCCAACCCACCGTCTCCCAGCCTCCCCAACCAGTCATGACTTCTTCATACGCTCTTTGCATTCCATCGAGGACGGCATCCTCGCAGCCATAGGATGCGTGGATATGACCAAAGACGTGAAGCCTTGGTCTCATCCTTGCAACCTCCCATGACAGGTATGGACAGCCTGCCCGCTGGGCACCACGGGCGTCGAGATGGAACTTCGGTGGCCCATGGGTGACGAGGATGTCCGGAATGGTGCGCAAAGGAGCAAACGTTTCGGTCCAATATTCGGGATCTGATTGGTACTGAAAAGCCGACGTGCCGTATTGAGGCGTGAAGGGACTGCCAAATATCATGAGCCTCCGGGCACGAAATTGCATATGTTCGTTTGGTTGCGCGGCCTCCGTTTCGACTGCATTATGACAACGAGGAAATTCGAGCGTGATCGAAGAATTTTGGAGGTAAATCACGCTTCCCCAGTCGAGATCCTCTTTTGTCTGTGATGATCCGTATCGTCTTTGTGGATATTTCTCGAGAAAGACCTCGTCCAGCAGCACATCATGGTTCCCTGCGACGAATACCTTGTAACGATGTGGTTGCGAAGATAGCCATCTTAGCTCCGACTGTACCTCGTCGAACGAACCATTCTCAGTCAAGTCTCCGGCATGGATGAGAACATCACCGTAAGGAAGCTCAGGCCGGGTGTTGTGTGTGTCAGAAATGCACACAACTCTGATTGTATCTTCACCCGATGGTTGCGGTGTAGGGCGGACATAAGCTGAGTACAGTTGGAAAAGCTGCTGCGCAGCGCGCCGCTTCCGCTGACCTGGCATCCTGATGCTGCTGAGTGGTTGTGACTGTGAGGCCATAACCATTGTCTTTTGGCTTGGGGCGATGTTGAGATGGTATCCAAAATCGCAGCCCCGAAGAGTAGGGCATGTTCTCATGCTGAGCATTGGGTGGGTGTTGCAACAGTGGAAAACCAGACATGGCCGTCTTCAGGTTGGCAGATTGACCCCGAGTCACCGTATTAGCCTTCGGTCTAACAACCCAACGAATCGGAAGCACCGCAAGATTTATAGGGCCAACAGGCACTCATCGACAACGCCACGTACATCTTCCAACAACTCGTCGGCTAAGGTTGTCAAGTTAGTGAGAACCTTTTAAAAGGATTGTTCCATTCGAGGCCGTGGAAGTGTGCTCGTCAGATTTTTGACCGTGCCACTTTTCTCCACCAGAGCCCGATCGCCCCCGACGACCGACAACCTTGTATCGGAGCGGCGGACAAAGACACAATCCCAAGCTACACGTCACCAATCACTCTCGGCCTCGAGCCTTTCAGCAATAATATTCTAAGAGATGGATGGAATGAGAAAGTATCTTCGGGGATTTGGATCAAGAATTTGGGCCCCCTCACGATCAACACAATGCAGCCCTTGCTTTCAATACATGTCCGACCTCCATCTTGAAGTCGGTCAGCAGTATCTCACCTTCGACTTTGACGTCACCGCTCCTAATCTCATTCTCGCTGGAGACATTGGCCGACTCATCGACTACGAGGGCTACATCTCGTTCCTGCAAAAACAAACCGTCCGCTACGAGCGCGTATTCCTAATTCTTGGAAACCATGAGTTCTACGGTCTGTCTCTCGAGGCTGGGCTCGCGAGAGCAAGGGAGCTCGAAAATGAGTCAGTTTTGGAGGGCAGGATGATCCTACTTCAGCAGAAATCCTTCGTGTTCGATATTGAGAGAGTTGCCGTTATTGGCTGCTCTCTTTGGTCATTCGTTCCCCGGGACTCGGCTCGTGCGGTGCAGGCTGTTGTGAACGACTTCAAGAAGATTGAGAATTGGAGTATAGAAAAACACAATAGCGCCCACGCCGAGGATCTTGCATGGCTGCGGAAGGAGGTACAGCTTCACCAGCCACACACGAAGGTCCTCATAGTGACGCATCATGCTCCACTCATCGACAAGACGGCCAGTCCGCAACACAAGGACAGCCTGGTCAAGTCGGCATTTGCTACAGACGTGTTGTCTAATATGAGAGGGGGGGCTTGGAGTTCAGTCAAGTATTGGATATTTGGGCATACGCACTGGACCACGCAACTCAAGGTGAAGGGCATACAGGTAGTGAGCAATCAGCGCGGTTATGTCTTCCCGGAGAGCAACTTACACCTGAAATTGGAAACTCAGGCGCCAAATCACATGTTTGATTCAAAGAGTACAATAGTTTTTTAAAGAAATCATCAATTGTATTGCATGCTCAGCTTGAAGATGCATGACGTGCTATCGTGAATTACTCAGTCGCAAAGGTCTCCTGGCGGTCGACAAAGCAAAAGATGGAGGCTGGACGCCCGTAATGGACACATGTAGACTTTGGCCCAAATTTGTCAAACTCTAGAGGCCTCTAGAGATTTCCGTAGCTTCTCTCGTCCAAAAAATAATTTATAAATATTTTCATATTTTATTAAATAATGATTAAAAAGTATATCAATATTTCATAAAATATATATCTTTATATACCTTTATATTTTATAAAATATTATTAAACTATATGTAAATAGTTTATAAAATAAGTATTTTAATATACTTTAATATTTTATAAAATAATAATTAAAGTATTATTAATATTTTTATAGAATAAGTACCCTTGTATACCTTTATATTTTATAAAATATTATTAAACTGTATGTGAATAGTTTATAAAATAAATACCCTGATGTACTTTAATATTTTATGAAATAATAATCAAAGTGTTATCAATATTTCATAGAATAAGTACTCTTGTGTACTCTCATATTTTATGAAATAAGTATTATTCTTCATTGTGGAGAAGGTTCAGATGGTCATTAACATTTAGCCCTCTCCTGTGAGAGACCACGCAACGCATGCGGCACTTAAGCATTCGAAGTCCAGCTGACTCTTGTAGAATGCTATGCTAAGAAATTTTTGACAACCAAGTCAATGGTATATCTGACAGTCCCGATTTACAACGTCCATCGCCAGGTTTATCCGCCGGTCTTCGTAGCTCAGACTTCGTGATACCATCGGGCCATGATCTCTTCTGTCAGTCGACAACTCTATCATGGAGGCTTCACGGGTGTCTGAGCTGGCTCGTCAGCCTGCGACCACTCCAAAAGAGAATATCATAAAGTGTCTGTGTGAGACAGTCTTGACACTGGCGGAATCGTTAGTTGTCAAGGCTATCATAAGTATAGAACGCGCCATTTGTATTGTGTTCGGTGTCCTGGCTGGAAACAAGTATTTGTTCTTCACTTTATCTAGGGCTTCGAGCTGGCTGCAGGTTTGTACAGAGGCTACAGGCTCGGGGGGTGGTAGATGGGCATGACTGCCATCAACTCTCACGGGGAGGACTCAGCTTCGGTATCCATCCAGTTTTGCGTTTTATGTTCGCTGATTGTTTCCACGAGCGAAGAGCCTTGAACCACATACAGGTAGTTTTGAGCCCTGGCGAAAGTGGTCAGCGGACTGGCGTCTTCTTGGCGATGGAACCACTCTCTGGCGGATGTGGGCGCTGGCGTAAGCTGATGCCTGCCAGCCAACTGCCAGCCACATGTACTGCGCACCCAAGCATTCATCCAGCTTAGGTAGTCGACGATGTTGACTGCATTTTGCACTTATGGCTGGGATTCCATGCCAGACAACATGTTAAAAGTCCAAGTGCGAAATCGATTTGAGATTGTCATGGCCCATATTGCTGGCATACATTTGCCATCCATCGAAAATTATGACCTCTCCATGGCAGTGTTCGCATCGCTAGGCCTGACGCTTGTTAGGTCTATCCTAGGACAGTGTCTTTTGGAGCTTTACCCAAGTACGAAATCTGACACCTGTGTCACTCACCAAGTACGAAAAACTCAGCAAGGCCTCGGATTTCCCAGTAGAAACCCAGTGATCCTGTAACAGAAAATCATCCAAGTACGAAATTCTCCCGGGCAATGGCATGTCAAGTACGAAAATCAGGAAACCGAAACCTCAGTCGATGCTATGCAACCTGCCTTTGGTTTTACATGGACACGAACATGCACACAGAACAACAGCTATTCTGAGACGGTCCCTATGTCCAGCCCCACGCCCTCACATACACATAACTACTATTCAAATTTATATATTTTAAATACTATTTCAAAGATTAATAAACTTATAATAAAATAAAAGTATTATATACTGAGTTGCTAGGTGGGAGATATTCAAAATAATATTGACTACTTTATCTAGGTTTCTTTTTTTATATTAAACTACATTATTAATTGCGTTTTAATACTTTAATACCCATTTTCCTTGTGGAATTCTAAGCGTTTCATTTATTCTTACATAGTAGAGAACTTTCTGTTATTACAAATTTGAGGACTTTTCCTATGTTAATAGGTAATTATACAGTGGGAAAGTTCAGTTCTTCCTTGGTAGCCGCGCGAGAGATTGATACTAAAGATCTATAAAGGGCATTATTGATATATCCATGGCCTAAAGCTTTTAATACTCAAGCAGAGTCACGGAAGAAATTGCTAATTGGTGACCTTTCAATTTACATTAAAGTCCGTATGACCTTGTCCGTTGCCCTCTGCATTTGATTCTACGGATATAATATAGATTTAGTGGTCGATCTTTATCCACTGGGCGCCGTGGCAGAGTGGTCTAATGCGATAGACTAGAATTTCTCCTCATAAGGATTCTGGTGATCTATTCTCTTCGGAGGCGCATGTTCGAATCATGCCGGCGTCGGAGCTTTTTGCTGTTTTGATCACGGGTCCCCGCAATTGCTGTTATCTTTCTCTGCTCTCTACCTGTCTTCCTCCCTGTCAGCCATCCTGGATATCTTATTTATTAATACTTTTAATTTGTATGTTATATAAGCCTTTGCAGGGGCATTAAGAAGGTGGAGAAATTTGGTCATTGTAAATAGTGAAGATAGTAAACCATATATTACTCAAAGGAAACGCGAAGCTAGGGACATGAATACTAAATTGCATCTTTGGTTGCCTAGAAGTAGTTCTGAACCTGATATACCTCACGATACTTTAGATTATGATTCCGGCAAAGTTCCTCATATACGAAGTTATAATCAGATGCGACGAGGTCCACCTGGACATATATCAGGTGCGAAGAGAAATTATGTCAGATGAATGTAAACTGCTTACTGTTACTATGGATAAGTTCAACACCCTCTAAGGCCACATGATAAAATTGCCTCAGCATTAAGAGCTGGGCTTGCAATTTTCTTTTGTACTTGAATTTTTCTGAAATACAAGAATTGCGTAGCGTTTACATCTTGCATGATATGGTATTTATCTGAGATGACGATACTTAATGTGTGTATTTGAAACACGTTATAACTCTTTCAGTGGTCATCGATGTAATAATGTACCGCCGCTTCTTTCCCTCGATATCACCACAATGTCCGTTGAGCCTCACCATCAATAGATGATTAAGAGACTACCATCATCCTCCTTCTCAGCCGTACAGCCCTGGTTGTACAAAGTGGAGCTGCTGAGGCCTTCAATCGCAGTGCCTCCGTTGCGCGAATACAAGCAGTCGTCGAACTGCAGCTCCATTCCAGACAGGTCCGCGTTGGAAAAGAAAAACTCCTCGGACATCCACTCAACAATCGATCGACATGTGAAGCTATTGTTCGACAGGGTAAAGCTCCTAGATTGGCCGGTGTTCAAGTTTCGTGCGGTCCTTTGTGCGCAGTCATCAAGTCAGCCGTCAGCAGATATTTGGCACTTGGCGTAGTTCCAGCAGCGACACGAATAGAGCGCATTTTTCATGAGGTTTGCGAGTTTACGAACATGGTACCCTCAGTTCCGCCAAGATCAATCCCCAAGCTCAGCTGGACCCGATCGCCTGGACGAACTGCCTCCTGTTAGCACTTGTGCTGACGGCACCAAACATCGCTAATCGGTTCTCAAACTCACAGGACATATCTTTGACTAGATTCACGTATTGCTTGCTGAAATCGCTGTCCCACTTCTGAAAAACTAGCGTGTATTCGGCAGCACTGTTGGTGACCTGTTGTTCTTCTTCTTAGCACAACCAGGTGCCCCACAACTGTTTTGAAAACTAGGTCGAGGATCTGCTCGACTTTGGACGAAGGAGATGATTTTGACGCACGTTGATGTCCAAGCCGAGTTGGACAAAGTCCTTAGTGCATGATTGGCCTGTGATACCAATATACCCCCGGAATGCGGAGCCATCATATGCGGAAAGGTTGGATGGTATGGTGATTGTGCCCGAGACACTCGTGATTGATGGCGAGTTAGGACTAGACTGTTCTCGAGCACCACAGAAAGCTTGGCCAGCCACGCGGAACGAGGACAGCGCCAGAACCGCGGTACGAATCATCACAGGCAGCTTCATTGTTTCGGAGGAACAAAAATGCCGTACGCTGAGAAACTTCCTCGCGGATGTGAAATGAAGGTGATCAGGTATAGATAGAGATCGCAAAGATGTGAAAGCCGAAGACAGGAAGCATATCTTACGTCGAGACGGTCACTACCTTGCTACCACCTTTTATACCCAACGCATGCCCATTCTACTGTGCTATTCAGCGGTGCGTCATCAATCACGATGGTTACTCAAGAGCGAGGTGTGCTTCGGACTCCAAGATAGAGTCTGACTGCATCTATGAGCTAGGGGCTGTGAGTCGGTGGATCCTCGCTGCAGGATTGAAGGGATCGTATGATGCACCAGGACGGTGACTACCTAACCGTTGCCTGTGTTCATTCACGAGCATTTTTGTTGCTACCGCAGTACTTGGATTCGCGATACTCGTTAGATCCTACAAGCGGCATCGTTTACAATTGTTGAGGCCGTTGTTAGTTGCGGCCAGATTCTATACCTATAGCACTCGGAGCAGCCAACGTTCCTACCAATATGGTCTTAGCAGTGCGACTGGTAACCTACATGGATGAGCAAACCAGGGGTATTGTTACACACAGTCAGTCGGCTTTCCTTAAAACTGACTGATCGGTCCTTCTTTCTGTCTTGGCTGCATGTCCTTGCAGGCTTTCTCTTTCACCTTCTGTTTTTGGCCGCTTTCTTCAGCGGCTAGGCAAGAATGAGAGTACTCGGAAAGCGAGGGAGGCGAACATAAACCGACCTGGTGGGTAATCGCAACTAATTCGAAAGAAGGACAGGCTTGATCAGCCAAGCTGGTACCATCCGCATTAAATGCTGGCTGATTGAGCGCTTGAAAGAATTGCGCCAGTCGGCTCGCAAGAGGAGTCGAGTCGATTTTGCATTATAACATTGGCTATTCAACATAAGCAGTCTTGAGTTCGAAGTTCTGATAAGCTGTGAAAGTATGTCTCCTAACGTTCACAGTGGTGGTGGGGGGGGGCATACGGCTTGGATCAGATCTCTTTAGTTGGCAAACACGGTACCAAACAATATTTCGCCGCGAAAGGGCGGCATAGGCATGCTTTAGCCACTTAGCTCTTTCCATTGGCGTCTCACATGTTCATGTGTATCAACTTGTTTCTTGACGTCTGGGTAATGAAGTATGGCTCCATGACATGTGTCTGCTCAGTGTCATGCAATCGTGTGAGGAGCATCAGAAACTGCAACGAATGCAGTGATTGTGCTTAAGAATGATCAATAGGATGGCCTGTATAAGGTTTTCGCCTCCAACCACTAAGTACTACTTCTCTGCCTCCTCCCATTTCTGCCAATCGTATAGTCGGGGGTCGAACCCAAAATCCTCCTCTTTCTTGCTGTGCCACCTTACCAATGCTTCTGACTTTTCGATCACCACCTCATTCCAATGAGCCCAGTCATCCACCATCCGCTCGAACTTGTAAGGCTCGACCATCCTATGCTTCCTGACACCATGGACGTTCGCCCGGTCTATACAGATGTGGTACATAGTCCAGGCCATACTGAAATCGACAAGTTTACCCTCAAGGTAATTTCCTTGATGAATATCCCTGACTAGTATACCTAGCTTATGCAGTTCTTCAAGATCAGCATACATTTGCGGAATTTGTGATGCGATCCACGGTGTCGAAGCCTCAACGTAATCTTTGACTATAGCTCTCAGGGGTTCGTGACGGTGGACCTCCCAACGCCAGAAAAGCCCATCGCAGCTTAGAGGTTCAGGATGCTTTTCCCAGTCTATAAAGTCTTCGCCTAAGCCTTCAGTAACACGTCGTTCTTGATCCTTCGACAGTAGGACATAGCCGTGAGCGCGGATAGCCAGCTCCTCACGGTTCTCCTCCTTGAGGCGTCCATAGACGCGGCATTCGCAGTTAAAAGGGTCCAAATAGTCTATATAGTCCTGTGGCGTAGGTTCTGGTCGTTGTAAGGGATCTAAATGTGGTGGCAAGACGACACTTCCTTCAGTCTCTTTCAAGTACTCCCAGTTTTGGAAGGAAAACTAGAAGCCGATAATTAACATTAGAAATAGACCCTTGGCCAAGAGGGGCAACGGAGCGAAACAGGAGGGAAACAATTATGCATCTAGGTACCCAAGTGCTGTCCTGGTTGTTAAGATGGGGCGATGAAAACTAAACTTACAATCTTGAGAGCATATACACTGCCATCGATATGGACTTTCCAGACTTTGGAGTCCATATCCTCATCGTTGCCAATGAATTCAATAAACTCGATGTCAGCGCTGGCTGTTCCTCGGAACGGCTGAAGCTTTGGGCCACGAAGTCTAGGAAGAGGTAGTCTCTTCGTCGATGACATGTTGTCTAGGGTTGACGTCTTGTCTGGAGCTGACATTTTGTTCGGGGCCGAAATGCTGTTGTGCGAGCCATTGATGGACGGAAAGGCGTCCGGCACCGAAGTCAGTTCTGCGACAGATGTAATGAGGAGGCGCGGTGCTAGCAGACGACTTCGTGATGAGATCCAACCGGGGAGAAAAGGTCGACTTGTCTCGAGCGACTGAAAGGGAGGGGTGTATGGTGGACCTTAGAGAAGAACGATGAACAAGCCCCAAAGATGTTGCCTAGTGTTGGGGGCGAGAACGGCCCGCTTTAAGTAGGTACGTGGCCCAGCGGCCGGACAGCACCACACTGTCTAGAATTATATCAACGTTTTCCCTAGAACTCACTGCAACCTTATCTTCGTTCAAGATCACACATCGAAATATAAATCACACAATGTCTCCGTCTCCCTCTCGCGACGCTTCTTCAACTCCTGGAGAATCTAGGTGTCGTAGCATTCTATCTCGGAAAAATCCTGATATTGTAGACGCTTGGGATGGCACCAGTCATTCTAACACGAAATCTGGAAAGCATGCTTTCGACAATGTGATCTTTGAAAAGAAGGCTGAATGCACCATTCAAGACTGTAAGGACTCATCATGTTTTATCCTCATAGACTCGTCAGTAACTCTCCCTTAGGGATCGACTTTACATATGAAGCCATCGATCTTGCTTACGGGGATGTGTTGAACCAAGTCCCTCGAAACCACCAGCCTCCAACCATCACGCCCAGGACAATCGAGCGATTGATCTTGACATATTCGTAATTGTTTCTAACCTTGTAGGCGGGCTGGTCGTGGATATATAGCGATTGAGGACTTTTCCTTTCTTTGGCTGATGTCGACATGATACTGAAACGAGAATACAGAGATCTCTCGGTTTCGCTGTCATCTGAGAATATTTTCCATGAGTATAAAAGTCTGGGTAAAGCATGCACTGTAGCTGTGTATGCGCCATTGTTCTCAGATGCCTAGCTTATGCTCTAGAACTTTTGTACAGACTTGTCGCTCACGTTGGGCAGCTCTTCATTGAACCTCTAGGGCAATTGAAGGGAGTGACGGCGATGAGGTTGGACTGAAAATTTTCAGACAGCTCAACTTTATTGTTGGCGCTATTTGCATTGATCTCTGCAAATGCAACTGCCTCTACCAAATTACCAGCCCATGGTGTTTATGTGTGCGGTGCGCGGCGCATTGTTGGAGCATTCGGCTAAGACATACCCAGCAAGTGTCTGCTTTTTGACTTTCAATATCAAATGGATTCTTCGCAAAGAGAGCTGATGTGCGCTGAGGGCAATTGCCCTAGATAAAAAGCCATAGTTGCTTGAGAGGGCGGGCAAAGGGTATTCATTGGGGCTGGTTGCCGGGACGTCGGACAGCCCGGGGCCACCATTGTTGACCCATATGGAGGGAATTCTAAGACGGACATTTCATCCTTTCCTGGTCCCCGGGAAATGCTTCAGATCTTGGCAGTCCGCTGCTCCTCTCCGCTGAAACAGACATACCTAGCACAGCTTGGAGGTGCCGAGAAGTCATCGCTTCTCGCGGGATAAATTTTGTGAGATTACCACTGAACCATATACCAGACCACCCAGCCACGTGGTTTGGCACGCGAGAGCTTAAATCGAACCCAACAATGACTCGCTGGCTGACAGCTTTGGGCATACACACAGACGCAGAGCGGCAGTGGGGAAGGGGGCCAAAGAGTGGGCGATCGACGAGCCCCAGAAACTCAAACTCTAGATAGCACTTTCGGGCTTTTTCGCGGCACCGGTGGCCCAGCGCGGCTTGGTCATCACGGAGATATCGACGGAGCGCTGAGTCCGGTCCCTGAAACCACGGGGACACGCGGAGCTTACGGCCCCCGAGGTTACGCTCTCGCTGTCTCAGAGATCTCTGTGTGTGGGGCGAGGCACGATAAGCAAGGTGAAGATCGGCCACGAGAAACCACGTGGCTTGGTGAACCCCGATCGGCTGGTGTGGTGAGCAAGTAGCGTGTGCTCCGTCGGTGTGCGTAGGGCTGAGGCCAAAGAAGTGACAGCTCAGTCAGCGCTGCGTGCATCACAAAGCCATTGCCGATGTCATCCGCCAGCGGTGTGCAGCCGCTCCTTAGCAGTCGCAACATGCTCTTTGACCTGGCCGGGCATGTACATTACAACGAATAACGTAATGGGTTCTCACGATTGTAAATGCAGTAAGGGCAAGTGTGGCTCTGTCAATGTCTTGGATTGTTCAGATCTTCTATCTACCACCTCCTCCGTTGAAGGGCCTATCATCCAGCCAGTCTACTCCTTGAGTCCCGCCGTCTCATCGTCAAACATCCCAGCCAACGTCCATGTACACTTCCCCTAACCGTATCCAAAGCAGAATTAAGCCCAGGGTATTTGATTCGGTCAGTGAAGAAAAAAAAATTGTAAGACAGTAAAAGGATTTCCAAATTTGTGGGGTGTTTTTTTTAACACCTGGGAAAAGAGACGCTCTAGCTGTCCCACAATTGCTCGCTCGCTCGCTTTTTTGAACTCCATGCCATGCTTGTTGTGACAAATGAAAGGTGGCGACCAAGGAAATGAGGAATGATGGTACAGTAGAAGTGCGGTAGTATGTAAGTTATGAGCATATATGTTTAGATCCACTTGCTCTGGAAGTTGTTCATCTCGCTCATGAAGTCGTCCACGACCGAGCTAACTGGTGCCGCCAGCAATGGGGGGCTGGCAACGACCGAGACGGGGGCCTTGCTGGTGCCGTCCATTGAGGTTCGCGGCAGATGGTATCCCTGGAACGCATTCGCAAGGGATTGCTCTAGCGACTCGCGGCCCATTTTGAGGCCAGACTTTGATGGTTGGAGAGTGGAGGGCGGCGAGAGGATATCCGAGTCCGTTTCATCATCCTCGGCCTCAGAATGGTAGAAGGATGGGATTTCGGTATCGTTCTCAGTTTCGGGCGATGAGGCATCAGTATCACCATCATCGTATATAGATCCTTCGTCGGACGAGAAGGAGAAGCGTGACGTAGGGGTATCCTGTTCATCATCGAACTGGACTTGTAGTGGCCGTGAGACCGCTGTTGGGGGCTTTGTTGCGGTCAAGGTGACAACCGACGCGTTCTCGGGCAGTCGACGCAGAGTATCTGCGGAATAGTTGCGAGTGACAGGTGGGGGCGGCGACAAGATCGTCTTTGGGCCGGTCTCCGAGGCGGCAGATGTTGCGAAGTTGTCGTCATCCTCCTCAGCGATATCGTCCGGGATGGACAGGAACAGGCGCTCTGCATCGTCGGCCGGTGGTGTCACCACTGCTGTGTCGTCGGAGAGGAACCTCCGTAATGAGTCCGGTGACATGGCTCGGGTCCGGCTTCCCTCAGATGCTGAAGAGCCAACACTCCGTCGCTGCTCATCGCCACAGGAAGAGCCAGTGACCGATGCATCATCAGAATGTCGGTCACTGCTGGCCTGGGATGACACGCTGTTCTTGCGGGTGAAGAGTTTCCGTGGTGACCACCAGCTCGGAGTCGGTGAGATGGAGCGGTCAGATCGCTTGTGCTTCAGTGTCCGGATAGGCACCTGCGAGGTGGTGGGCCGGTAGGCTGGGTTCAGCAACTCCGGCGCGGCAGGGGCTGGCCGAGGTGTGCTGTACTTGTCTTGCGGAGACATGGTCTTGAAGTCTTCGCGTCGCACTGAGCTGAGAGATGCACTTCGTTTTCTGTCTGACTTTTCGGCTGGCACCCACATCATATTTACAGTCTGGCCAGGTAAATATGGGCACGTCGATGTGGAGGGAAGCGAAGGATCGTGAGTCTCGACGGAGCAATCCAATTCGTACTAATTAGTGTTAGCGGACAACACGCCTCTCCAAGGGTTATTAACCAACACCCAGCCACCAACTCACGTAATAATAGTACGGCTGGCCCATCTTCAGGCCACCGTTCCTTCGTGACGATCCTGGCCGGTCGCCGTCATAAATGACGTCCTTGAAAACATGGCACCCACGCCATTGCCTGCGGTCGCGTCGGCTGTCGCGTTCCATTGTGTATGGTCGTTCGAAGTTGTCCCAGGAACCAAACAGCGAGACTGATTGTACTGAGGGATGCGTTTCACTGTTGGTGTGAATTGACAGTCAGCAAACATCCGGGGGAGCGGCATTGTTTTATTTATAAGCGAGTCTGATGATTCCCCAGGTTTCTTTTTGCTGACAGCGTGGAGCCGAGACTCGAGCTGGACAATAGGCTTCAGCCTCTCCGGCTTGGCCGGTTCAGGTGCCAATTTCCCGGCGTCTGGTGACGCCCGACAAGGCGGCCCTGCGTGGGAAGAGTGGGAAGCAGGCATGCCATGTGGCTCGCAAGGAAAACTTAACGAGATCTCAGAAAGCATATTTGCCCGAAAGGTACTAAGGCTGACCGACACGACTGAACTTTCAGGTACCCGCACGGCTATGCTGATACCTGACCATAATGTTGACAGGGATCAAATCCTCAGTCATTCCTTGCAAAAAGCAAAAGCAATGGTTACGAGTACGAGCAGCGATGCTTCGGATGACAAAAATGATTGAGATGTCAAATACTCACGACTCTCCTCGCCGTCGAAACCGAAACATGTCGGCCAAAAGCAAGGTAATGCCACTGCCGTGGTAGCGGGAAATTTGGATGCAGAGCAGAGCAGAGCGAGTCGAAGGGGGTGAGGCGCGGACTGCCGGGTGGAGAAGGCAAAAGCAGAACTTTAGGAAATTGCAGCAAGACAAGAAAAAAGCATATGAAAATCACCGGCTCGTCGGGAGCCAAAAAGAAGATTAGAAATACTCACAGCATGAACGTGAACAATGTTGTGTCCATGATGATGATGCGAGCCGGAGATCAACTCCTCGTTTTGCCGGGTTAGAAATAAAAGGAAGTGCGTCGGTCGAGAGAAATGGCTGCAGTCTCCTTTAATGCGCTACTGGGAGAGCTTGATGCCCCTGAGGCCGAGACGATGAGACAAGCGCTCGGCGGCAACAGTTGCTGCAAGTGGTGATTGCCCTGCCCTGGACTTTGGTCCAAAATAGACGTGATGAGGTGTAAAGGAGGGTATCTTGATGCGTTGGTGGTCAATCTGTCGATGGCAGCGAGGTGAATTGGCCAATGGCGTGTAAAGGCGGCGCTGTATGCAAGCGCCTGTTTGCCGGAAGCGGAGGGGGGGAGCCTAGGCAATGGGAGTGCGGCGCTTAGAGAAACAAGCGTAGATTAAATGTTTCGTGGCCGCGGGATGTGGCCGCGCGAAGCCAACAAGCAGAGTGAAATATCTGAAACAGACAAGGTAGTTGTCAAAGGATCCGGCAATGAGGTACGGTAGTATTGTGTGTATGCGTGTGTGTGTGTGTGTGTGAGTGTGAGTGTGTGTGCCTGGCCAGAGGCAGTTTTAGGTTGGATTGGATGACACCTTGGAGCCTCGTGGCAGACAGATCGGGATGCAGATGCGAATGCGGATCCAGGGACCAGAATAAGCAGAATGCTGTAGCCAGAGCAGCCAGAGCGTCCAGGCTATGTATCCAGAAGAAGGATTCAGGTACGGAGTCGGGAACCCACAATGATGACCAGGAGGCGCAGCTCCCTGGTCTTTAAGATCAAATTGAGGGCACGCCCAGGTGGAGGGTGCTTTCCACTGGTTGCCAGCCTTCCTTAGCTAGAAGGGCTGAGATAAATGACGGACAAGGATAGCTGCCTGTGTTGAGTAGTTGTGATCCAACTGAAGAATGGGGAACTATCGAATGGCTCGGACCGCCTGTACCAAGGAGCGCCTTGTCGATGTCAAGCTGAAATGATCGAGCTGGGTCTGGCGCAGGGACGCGCGGGGGGCTTCTATGGAGTACCCAGTATGGCGGGCTGGCTGGGATTGGATCGTCTTTTTCTAATCCTTTAGAAGCCGTCTCAATTTTTAGTGACGCGATTCGGCTGCTCGGAAGGGGATGAGGTGGAGCCAGATCCAAAACCAGGATACGGTTGTTCCAAGTTCCAAAGCAGGAGGCGCCGGCAGAATTGAGCGCCAACTGAATACACAGCAAATGGTTTGATGGTCTTGTGGTGCTGCTGGTGGTGATGATGCTGGTGGCGCTGACGGGCGAGAGCATAAGATAAAAGACCCGGCTGAGGCTTGATCCCAGCCGGCAGTGACTTGACTTTCGGCTGTGCTTCACAGAGACACCTGCTGTCTGATCCTTCTCGAAGTTGGGTTCTCGGGGAAAAGGCAAGTGTTCGCGCTGAGACCTCCGTGTTGTGTTGTGGGCACGGCCCTGGGAGATCTTGTCAAACGAGAGACAAGGTTTGCTGATATTGCGAAGAGAGCACGGTACACTTCTTAGACGAGCAGCACCCACAAGATACAATAGAGATGGGGCATCTGTAGCCTACACTTTGAAGGCTGGTGGGGAGCAAGGACATGATATGAGAATCAGAGCATGAAAGAACATGGACAGGAAACGGGAAAAATCGTCATTGCGCCGTCACCTCTATTATCTATGGGGACAGTGCACACTTCGCTGGCAGCCAAGCACCCACCTGCGAGGTAGCAGTAACACAGCAGAGAGCATTGGCAACATCGTGACCGCACTGGAGCCCCTCATTTGCTGGCAGTGGCGGTGATGGCAGCCCACGGCTGTGCCTGCGGTGCACCAGGAACAGGAACAGAAAGCCAGCTGAAATGAGATGGCGGGCGAACCGCATTGAAGGTTGTAGCATTGCTACATGTGCAGCACAGTCAGACAGGAACAGGACCTAGGACCTAGCCAGCCATGCTTGCTAGGTCTCATGTGTCTAAGCAAGGCGAGGTTAGCGCTGCCTGCAAGACAAGAGATGCTTTTGCTCCGACAGTGGGTGCTCCTCAATTTGAGCTGCAGATCGCGCAGGGATCTATTTGTATCAGGCTCGCCATCTTAGGGCGGGTGGATCCCGAGACGAACCAGTCTCTGCCAACCAAGCTTCTTCCCGACCCAGCTCCTTTTCCCGGCTGCCTGGGTGCTCCTCGTTCGAGCTGACAGGCCAGCCAGTTCGTCAGCTAGCAGTCTAACAGTAGGGCTAATGAAGCCCCCATGCAGCCTTGGACCACTCTGACCACCACCTCACATCAAACACCATCTGACGGGGCGATCCATACTGCGCAAAAGCTGAGGAGTCAGTCAAATCAGTCAGTCAATCAGTCCGTCAGTCAACAACAAAGTACCCCCGGTGGACCATAGGCCAGTCGTCGAGTCGAGTCACCAACAATTCAGCCTCGTCGCGCTCATGCATTTCCCCGGTCAAACGCGCCCATCAAACTGCCGCTGTCAGGAAGCACCAGCCGCTCGGGATCCCCACCATTCTGTTGGACAGGAGCTGCCTCGAAACGAAACACAGCATGAAGATCCTATTATCATGGAGGCAGTCTCCGCCTGTCTCTCCCTGCGGAACAGCTCAAGCATGAATCGGCCCCCCTCTTCCATCTGATCCCACATCAAATCGAGGCGAGCATATCATGCAGCTGACATGGCTGGCCAGTCCCAAGAGACACCTCGGCGATCGTCTTAACAAAAGACGGCGAAGATGACGGTTGAAGGCCTGACGCCCTGCATTTCCAGAGGATCGGGGCACAGAGGTTGAGCTGATGTGCGCGAGGTGTGATTGAGTGCGTGCCGAGCTGCGTGCAGCCAACCACTGCTGTCAGCCATCACACCCAATAAGGTTTTCTCTGCTTCACCATTGCGGGCGCGCGCCACGCAGACGCAGCCCAACGAAAGTCAAATAGACTTATTTGCTCGCTCACGGATCAAACACGCACAACCACCCCCGGCTGACTCAAACTATGCTCTTGAGGAGGGTGTGCACGAACGTGAGGGGGGCAAAGTATCCTCCATATCTGTCACCCGCAAGCGGCGCCAAATTAATGCGGATTTTCCCCATGGGATTGACGTCGGTCACTCACCGAGCCAGCCAGGGCGTCTTCCGAGACAGACGACAAAAGTGTCTCGTCTCGGTATATGCAGGAAATAACTCGGATCGGAGACAGTAATCTATCGACATGTGTGGCTTGCTGCAAAGACGCACCGAAGACAACTTTGTGCGTCCGTAACGTAATAAAACTCCCGGTCGCACCGCATTATCTACAGGCTAGCCGACAATGCCGGCATGGCGCCGCGGGACATGTCACCTTGTTTCCAGAACTACGAGCAGCTTCTGATTACCTCGCGTGCGTACTTTTGCATGTTTCATGAATATTAAGGTACGCATGTCGGGCTGGTCGGTCAAAATCTCACGCGATGGCCGTGGTCCTTCGGGTAATTTCCAACTCGGCAAGCCTTACGCGACATCAGACACCAATTACTTGTGTTACCTCGTTGTCATGACAGTCAGGCACTAGGATGTCTCAAACACTTTGTCCGACGCAGTCTGGAGTCAAAGGTCGGTTCGTCATCAAAGAACCGAAGGAAGGACTGTCACTGCTCACCGTCCGTCCTCCGTCCTCCGGCCCGGAGTTGAGCGGCCCCACCCGGTGGACAGGCTGTTTGATGTCCTGCGGATTGCTGACTAGATGGGATGCTCTTTGCATACGGCATTTTCGCGTTACCTTCGCTTCGTGTCTGGCATGCGAGCTTAATCGGCTCCCGTGCCTCCTGGTACCCATCCCCCTTCTCGCGGCAATACTTTCAATCCCAACATCCTCCCATGTATGGGACACAATACGGGTTGAGGCCTAGACCACCACGCAGAGATGGACAAGCTCCCCTTGCCCGCTGCATGGTTGGGAGCCGAAAGCCTCGCTCTCACTTGGGGTGAACAGCGAGTACGACGGAAAAAGTCTTTCACGCTCAGAAGGGCTCGTGAAACATCTCTGCCCGTTACTTGTTACCGAAGTGTTTCTGGTGCAAGCCCGACGGTACCAGTGCTCAACCAGGCACCAACCTGAACTCAATTCGCGCGGCTCCTACCGCTAGGCATGCTGAGGCGACGGCACAAGATCGCCGGAAGTAAGTAACCAGGAGCAAAGCAGATCTTCGAGCCCGGCTCTCGCTCGAGGCTGGAATTG